TCAACGTGCAGCGTGTTCTTGATGCCCTTTTCCCTTCTGTTCTTGGTGGAACATGTGCCATTCCTGGAGCATTTGGTTGTGGAAAAACAGTCATTAGTCAAGCTCTCTCTAAAGTAAGCTATTTTCTATATCTAAGGTTTGATGTGATCTTTTGTGGTGCCAAAATTTATTGTTGCTGAATTTTCATGCAGTACTCAAATTCTGATACTGTGGTGTATGTTGGTTGTGGAGAGAGAGGAAATGAAATGGCTGAAGTTCTTATGGATTTTCCTCAATTGACAATGACATTACCTGATGGCCGTGAAGAATCTGTCATGAAGCGTACGACCCTTGTGGCTAACACTTCTAATATGCCTGTGGCTGCTCGTGAAGCTTCAATTTATACAGGTAATAATTGTCCAAGATCCCTCTTTTCCCATTGACCATGTGTAAGTTACCCACAATGATTAACTCTAATTTATTTGGTGCTATTGTCTTATTGTCTATCCTTATTGTTCTTTGCATTGCTATTATGATGAACCATGAATGTAATTTGACCGTAAAAAATTTATTTCCTTTTTAAATTGTCTCAATATTGTATTTCCTTCTATTTTCTTTATGATAAACCATACTGTGATTGAGAAAATGAAAGAATACAAAGTGCATCAACAAAACCAACTCCCGGAAGGAACCAAACTAAAATAGGGAAGTTCTCCAATCAAACATGATAATTCTTAAGGGTAATTACACCACTCCTTACACGCCAACATCCAGGGGAGACATGGAAACTATCAAGAGACCAAACTTCTTTCCTCCGACTTCTTTAACTACTATAAAAACTCCATTGTTTTTCCCACCCCAAAACAAAACACAAATGCTGGCAAGCCACAAAAGTGGCCCTTTTACGCGAGGGAAATGTAGCATAAACTCCTTGAACATGGAGCTACAATCTCTAGGCCGGGCCGAGTTGAATATTCTGTTATGTTCTGTTGAACTCATTGATAAGTACATCTTGGAAAGAATTAAAATACTTGCAGTTGATTTTTACATTAAATTTTCGTTGTACCTATATTCTATCCTTATAACATTTTATTTCTTTCAAGTTTTGTTGAGCCTGGTTGAGATATATTTGTTGTATTGATATCCACCATAACAATGCATTAATGTGTGCAGGAATTACTTTGGCTGAATACTTCAGAGATATGGGATACAATGTAAGCATGATGGCAGATTCAACATCCCGATGGGCAGAAGCACTGCGTGAAATATCAGGACGACTGGTAAATAGCTGGAGCTTGTTTTCTAATTTTATAATCATTATCTTTACATATATTAGGACTTGTTTAGAAAATTGTGTTTCTTGTGTGATTTGGTTAGATTGATTTTGTGGTGCACTATTCTGATCTTTCTTTTTCTCACCAAGCACCATCATCTCATAAGTTGTAACTAAAACTTTCTCACTTCCAGCCTTATTAATCTCAATAATATTTAAACCGAAGAAACATGGGTTGAAAGTGTGCTATAATTGTATAAACCCGATTGTCATTCTTTAACAACCTAGGCATAGACATGATAGGTAAACATACATACACTCATTTCTATAGTCTATTGTGCTATAATATTTGCATGTTAAATAAAATTGTTACATTGAAATTGCAAAGTAAAAGACGAGATAAGAAATATGACATCTCAAAACAATGAAGCAAACTGTATATCCAATAAGATTCATTGTCTATTATCAAAGGCGTATAAAGGGAATACCAATCTAAATAAACGTTCAATTATATATTTAATTATATTTTTCTCATTTCCTTGTTTTTATTTTTTTAAATTTTTAAATTTTTTATGTTCATCTAGACTATGTCTTGTTCACTTGCCTCTGAAATTAAAGAGCATCTTATTCTAGTTAAGCATCTGATTAGTTTCAAGATGTTGTATTTACGTCACACTGACACATAACTCAATATGATTTGTCAGTGTTGCATATAAGCATTCTAAAGACAGTGTCCACTGCTTAGATTTCTTAGCTTGGAGTTGAACTCTTAAGATGAGTGCACGTAACTATTGTATTTCTGTTGTCTTATTGTTGTTGGACTTGTCTTCTTTGTTCCTTTTTCAGGCTGAAATGCCTGCAGATAGTGGATATCCTGCATACCTAGCAGCACGTTTAGCCTCTTTCTATGAGCGTGCTGGTAAAGTGAAATGCCTTGGTGGGCCAGAACGAACTGGTAGTGTTACCATCGTCGGTGCAGTTTCTCCACCAGGAGGAGATTTCTCTGATCCCGTGACATCTGCTACCCTCAGTATCGTCCAGGTGAACTTTTTCATGACTATTCTAATCTGGTTAGATTTTATATAGTTGTTTCTACAATCATTATTTCGCTCTGTGATTATTATGGTTATTTAAACGGTTTGTAGGTTTTCTGGGGTCTAGATAAAAAGCTTGCCCAGAGGAAGCACTTCCCATCCGTAAACTGGCTAATTTCGTACTCAAAATACTCTACTGTATGTTAGCGGAGCTCTCTGACTTGTGTTTTCCTTATTTGTATCTTCCATACGAATTCATTGAGTAATGCATCTTAATTAATTTAACTTTTTTTATTTTAGGCATTGGAATCTTTCTACGAGAAGTTTGATCCAGATTTTATCAGCATCAGGACAAAGGCTCGAGAAGTTCTCCAGAGGGAAGATGACCTCAATGAAATAGTCCAAGTATGTCTGCTAAGTGCAAATTTCCCTCCCCCTCCTCCTTCCCCTCCCCTGTCCAGCTCTTTCTTTCTTTCACAAGTAACACATCCACCCATGCATACACATCCGAGGAGTATATAAATAAGACTTGGTGGTGAATTTTATAGAAGACAAATTTCACTATTTTTGATTTTGGGATTATGGCAGCTTGTAGGGAAGGATGCCTTGGCTGAAGGAGATAAGATTACCTTAGAGACTGCAAAGCTTCTGAGGGAGGACTATCTCGCTCAGAATGCATTTACTCCGTAAGTCTTGGCTACATCATCCTTGTTCTGGTCTTTACTCCAGCAGTGGATGTTATATAGATCAACCATTTCTAGATTTTTTTTATAAAAAAATTGTGGGTATGACAGGTATGACAAATTCTGCCCCTTCTACAAGTCGGTCTGGATGATGCGCAATATCATCCATTTCTATAATTTGGCTAATCAGGTAGAGCTACTACTGTTTTTGACCAAATCATATCACCATTGTTGAAATGTGAGGTGGTAGGGTGAGGGTCATAATTTTGGTTGGATATTGTTTGTTGCAGGCCGTAGAGAGGGGAGCAGGTATGGATGGCCAAAAGATAACATACACTTTGATTAAGCATCGGTTGGGAGATCTGTTCTATCGCCTGGTGTAAGTAAAAGAAAAGTGGCATTGGCATTGCAATATTTTGATTGATTGTGATAGTAGATGAACTAAAAACATTTGGGGTTTTGCAGGTCTCAGAAGTTCGAGGATCCAGCTGAAGGAGAAGCAGCTCTTATTGAGAAATTTAAGAAGCTACATGAAGATCTTACAAATGGTTTCCGTGCTCTCGAGGATGAAACTCGGTAGATTTTCTTTTTTTGCTTTAAAAAAAAAGATTGCCGACTTCATTATTATTTTCCTTTTGTGTAGCCTATTATTATTATTACTACTACGATGTATTATGCTCTGCAGTCGTGAGCCTTTCAGTTAGCCATTATTTAATAATCATATGTATTTTCTTTTTCCGGGTTCGACTTTGACGTTCAGATGTGAGATTCTTTGTATTCCCTTATTCATATTTTTACCAAAATCTGTGACATAATAAGATGAATCCGCGTTTGAATTTGGCGGTTGCTTTTGCCAAACCTTAGTTTTTACACCTCTCTCCTTCTAAGACACAGTGATGGAAGCTCTTGTCTTGGTTATCTTTTAGTCTCTGACTAAGAGATCCATTTCTCATATCTCAATTGATGTATGGAGCCTCACAACTTGTACTTCAACTACAACTAGTTCTTGTGTCACAATCCTTACTTCAACTAGTTTCAAAGGTTTAGAAGATCTCTATCCTATCCATTAGACAATGGATACTCTGAAAATTGTGTATTCAACGATGCATTAAGTAATCAAATATTGTTAATATTTTGATTTGAGTAATTCCATTTTAATTTGAATGGATCTCTCAGTTGTTGAGAAGGTTGTCCAAAAGTAGTATATAAGATATGCCCAGTAAACATACCCTCTAAAACTACTTACCAAACATACCCGTAAAACTTACCAACTTACCCTTGTAAAACTACTTACCAAACATACCCGTAAAACTTACCTATAGTAGCAAATAAATAATCGATAAATAAAAATAGTAATATAGATCAGCTTCTTCTAGATTCATTTTTTTTTACGCATAAATGGTAAGAGATATAATTTTTCTCCACCTCAATTAATGATAATAATTGGTGCGATTAATATTTGGACCATTATTTAAGCATGCCAAGCATTGACATACGTATGCACATATCATTTGGAATATAAAGTTGGAAGTTAATTAATTATATTGAATAAAGTTGTGGTTTTATTATGACTTTTTCATAAACCGTTTACTGTGGGAATTATAATTTCGGCTTTGGTAACAAATTAATTATGTGATAATTCAATCAGTGGTTGAGGCTAATTTACATCACTGCTACCAATCCTTTTGTGGACAATTTCCTCTCACCTCATCTAAATTCATCTAAATAATGTTCATAATCATTCATTAATTAAACACCCATTTTTCTAGGCACTTAAATGTATATATAAAATTATTTAAATAATATTAAATTATTTTTAAAAAAATTCTTTAAATAAGGAAAGAATGATTTTTCAAACAAATTTTAAATTTTATTTTAAGGGTGTGTTTTGAAATATTTATATATATAAATAATAATAATAAAGGTCAAATTTAAAATTTAAAAGTAGAGATGAGGGACAAAATTGGTAATTATTTTTTATAATTTACCCGAAATATAATATTATATAAATAAATGGTTGGACTTTAAAATAATAATAATAGTAATATTACATCGGAAGTCCGAAGTCCCAGCGAGTGTCAATTCCCGGCGGAATTTGCTCTGACTACGGTCTTCCTGAAACTCCGGCGCCTCAAAAATGGCGGAAGGATCCAACACCGTCCACTCGCCCCTCGTCACTTATGCTTCCATGTTATCTCTTCTCACTCTCTGCCCTCCCTTTGTCATCTTCCTGTAATTCCCTCTGCTTCAAATGGATCTCATTCACTTTCTCTTTTTGTCAAAGATCGCCTTCATCATTCAATGTTCCTCTAATTTCAACGATCCATTGCGAATCTTGCTTCGCTATGCGCACATTTCGTGTTTGTTTTTGTTTGAATATCTCAACGTTTCTTCTCTGATGCAGATGGTACACAATGGTCCATGCCGATGGGTCTGTTTCCCAGACTATGGCTTACTTATACCACAATGGATTGAGGGGGCTTATAGATATATGGCCACCGCCCTCTGCTACTGCTTTCAAATTAATTGGATCTTACGCTGCCTTTGAGGCCGCCCTTCAGCTTCTTTTACCTGGAAAAACGGTTTATGGCCCGATCTCCCCTACGGGAAATCAACCTGTTTACAAGGTATTTGGATATTAGATTCTCGATCACTCTGTTTCAGTAGAAGAAACTACTAATGCCTCGATGTTCTGTTCATAATTTATTGTTCCTGTTTCCGTGTTGCAGGCAAATGGTGTGGCTGCGTACGTAGTAACTCTGGTTACTTATATTGCTCTTTGGTGGTATGATTTCGTTCATCTTTAGTAATTGAAATATTTGAGGCTGATCTATTCTAGATGTCCGTGATGAATTTCAAACTTCGTGATCCCTTTGGGGGAAAAAGTATATACATCAGTATGTGATATGTGATTTTGTGCCCAAACCCCCGCTAGTCGATATTTTCCTCTTTGGGCTTTCTCTTCGAGGCTTTGCCTCAAGGTTTTAAGACACATTCACTAGGGAGAGGTTTTCACACCCTTATAAGGAATATTTCGTTCCTCTCTCCAACCAATGTGAGATCTCACAATCCTCCTCTCTTAGAGACTAGTGTGTTCATTGGCACACCTCCCGATGTCTAGCTCTGATACCATTGTAACGGCCCAGGCCCACTGCTAGCAGATATTTGGACTATTTCTCGATTTGTGTGTCATCCATGTATAGGGGCAATACTAATCTTCTCTGTATCGTTCAAATTTTATCGTGAAAACCTCTTCCCTAATAGACGCGTTTTAAAAACTTTGAGGGGAATCTTGAAAGGGAAGTCCAAAGCGGACAATATCTGCTAGCGGTAGCCTAGGCCCTTACAAATTCTGTACTAATATTTCGTTGTTCTGTTATATTCAATCTATATCTTTTGTGCTAGAATTATATGCTTATACATGATTTGGACAGGAAATATCTTTTCTGCTCTCTGGATTTCTGATGGTTTTTCTTTTCCAGTTTCATAATTTAATTGACTGTTTTAATCTTCAGGTTTGGGATATTCAATCCAACAGTTGTTTATGATCATTTGGGAGAAATATTTTCAGCTCTTATTATTGGAAGCTTCATCTTTTGCATTGTTCTATACATAAAAGTGAGTATTTAGGCTGTTGTGTTTGATACCTGTTGAAGTTAAGCATATATATATATGCTATTTGTATGTATAACAGTGGTGTTTGCATGTATAAGGGCTGTGTGGCGCCATCTTCCTCTGATTCTGGTTCGTCTGGTAACATAATAATTGATTTCTACTGGGTAAGTTTTCACATCCCTTTGATATTTATAATTTGATGTGATAATTTTCACTTTTCTCAAGTTAAGAATAAGAAAGAAACTCAGTTGTTTTAAAGATGAATGAGGGTACAGAGAAGGTGACACAAAAAAGAGGCCCCATCCAACATGGGAACAAGACAACAAAAAGAAAAGATAAAATTACCAGATTATAAAAAGGGACCTAAAATAATGAACAGCCAAACAACCCTTATCTCAAAATGGAGGACTTGAAACACTTCCTCCATCACTGTGTGTAAACTAGAACTTGGAACCAGGAAAATACCAAAAGTCTACCAAAAACAACACACCTTTTGGAACAATGTGATGCATATTATAGATGATTATTGAACTAAGTTAACTGTGAACGAACTAATGAACTCTCGGGATACAATTATTGGCGTAATTTGGCACAAATCAGATGATAGTCCTCTAAAAAACTCAAGTAGTTTGTATATGCACTTGTTGTCTTGAAAAGATCCATGGTTTTATTATGTTATAATGCTTATCTGCTTTTTACTTCAGCAATCAGTCTGTCTTTAAGTGCTAGTCTGCTTAATATGTATGGTATGATAACAAAAAATCTCCACTAGAATTTCATGTTAAATGCTCTTAGCCTTGTGAAGTTATATCTTTATATGCAGCTTATACGCTTTCAATTTGAAAATCGGGAAAAAGTAGTATACTCTATACTCTAGGGTTCATCTTCATATAACTTGTTTATGTTTTTCTCCCGTGTTTTTTTTTAATTTTTATTTGCTTAATTTTCTCCTTAGTTCCATTTTAAAGCATCAGTAAATTGAATAAGTACTAGAGTATATGTGAGATCCCCACATCAATTGGAGAGAAGAACGAGTGCCAGTGAGGACGCTAGGCCTCGAAGGGGGTGGATTGTGAGATCCCACATCGATTGGAGAGAGAAAGGAAGGAACGAGTGTCACCGAAAGGGGGTGGATTGTGAGATCTCACATCGATTGGAGAGGGGAACGAAGTATTGTTTATAAGAGTATGGAAACCTCTCCCTAGCAAACGCGTTTTAAAAACCTTGAGAAAAAACCCAAAAGGGAAAACCCAAAGAGGACAATATCTGCTAGTGGTAGTCTTTTACTAGTATTTTGGTTGATCACATGATTAACTTGGCTAATCTAGGTCTTGTTGATATTCTAATAACACCTTTGTTATTTACTTTCTTGCAGGGCATGGAGTTGTACCCGCGTATTGGCAAACATTTTGACATTAAGGTTTTCACAAACTGCAGATTTGGGATGATGTCTTGGGCAGTTCTTGCTGTGACCTATTGCATAAAGCAGGTAGGTGTTCTAAAAGATCATCAAGTATGAAACATTATCCTACATTTGTGGAACATTATCCTTCATGTGAGGTTTACCAAATAGTATTCAGAATAATGGGATTCAAGCCTCATTTAATTAGTTGGTACCTTTGCTTTATCTTTTATCAGTATTTTCTCACATTACATGATATAACATTCACAGATGTTCTCTAGGCTTGTAGGTTCTATGATATTCAAGGTGTTGAGATGTAATTGTTGCATAATTATCTTCTCATTTCGTCCATTTCAGTACGAAAAGAACGGGACAATAGCTGATTCGATGCTTGTAAATACTGCATTGATGTTGGCTTATGTTACAAAGTTTTTTTGGTGGGAAGCTGGGTACTGGAACACAATGGACATAGCGCATGATAGAGGTTAGCTTATATTGTATGTTTTTCTTTGTTTAACATGTCATTTCTTTTCATACTCTTCTGTTATTAATAAAATGCTCGAGCAGAGCTGACTCGTTTTCGATCTTGAAAAATGCGATACACAAGTCTTCAACTCTTATGCTGCTGAACTGTACTAGGATGTGATTTTAATGGTCCATTTACCTTGTCGGAATTAAGAATAAATAAAACATGTTATCCTCTTTGTATTATCAATCTAATTACTCCTGGAAATTGGTAACTCGGATTTTGCAGCTGGTTTTTATATTTGTTGGGGCTGCTTAGTATGGGTTCCGTCTGTATATACCTCTCCTGGCATGTATTTGGTCAACCATCCTGTAAACCTTGGAACTCAGGTACCCCTTCTATCTAGTTATCTAACATTAAGCAATTAATTTGAACTGAAACATGCTGGATCATCACATATTCTGGAGATTCGTGGAGATTCGTGGAGACTCGTTAGCTTTTAGTTGGTTGCTGGTTAGCCAATGTGGAAGATATCGACTCTTAAAACGATCGTTTCTACTCGTATAATTCTTGATGGATTGTGCTACTTTCCTAATAGTCCCTCCTTTTGGTTTTCAGTTGGCAGTATATATTCTAGTAGCAGGCATGCTTTGCATATATATCAACTACGATTGTGACAGGCAGAGACAAGAATTTCGCCGAAAAAACGGGAAGTGCTTGGTTTGGGGAAAAGCTCCATCTAAGGTTTTGACGAGAATTCTGTCTAACAGTTCTTATGGAACGATCTAGTGATACGATGTGACGAAATCTGGTATTAATTTGACAGATAGTAGCTTCATACACCACTACATCTGGAGAAACCAAAACTAGCCTTCTTTTAACCTCTGGATGGTGAGTTTTCATTTGCTTCATTTTCTCACATATACATAAGTGTGTGAGTGGGATTTTGTTGTTGGTGCAGGTGGGGCTTAGCAAGGCATTTTCATTATGTACCAGAAATTTTGGCTGCATTTTTCTGGACAGTTCCAGCCCTTTTCAATCATGTAAGCATCACCTATTCTAATCAATACAAACAGAAAGAAGAATTATATTGTTTATTTGGTAATTGTTGGTTTGGATGTCCTCCTTTGCAGTTTCTACCATATTTCTATGTGATATTCCTTACTATCCTTCTGGTCGACCGAGCTAAAAGGGATGACGATCGATGTCGGTCCAAGTAAGTTAATCCGTTCGGTTCAGCTGATATGGGATTGAGAGTACCTCCTTCTTTGGTTGATGATTTTGGTTTCATGCAGGTATGGCAAATATTGGAAACTGTACTGCGAGAAAGTGCCTTACAGAATCATTCCTGGAATATGCTAATACGGCTTCCTAAATTTGTATATCACTTATAGTACGATCTAAATACTTTGTTTGTTTGTTATTACCTTTGTTGCTCGCTTCACTTCATGTAAACCTTATAATATTGTAACACTTTTTTCATCCTTCTTATCTGTTGTTTTTGTATGCAAGTTACTAGAGCTTTCACCATTTTCTCCCATTGCTCTCTACCTCTCTTGTCGACAATCTCCCGCTGCATCGACCGTCTTCTCGTCAACACAATTCGTCGTGGTCGCACCTTCCCTCGCCTTCATCGTTGCCGATGTCGTCTCTCACTCTTGTCTCCCTCCCCATTTGCCTAACACTATCCCTCGCCTCCATGGCAGCCTAAAACGTCTCTTGCTCTAGCCTCTAGCCTCGCGCCTCACTGTTGCTGTCACGTCTGTCTCCGATGACCCAATGTTGTAGGGTTCAGAATGGTAAAACTATAGATAAAATAAATTTTCTAGGAAAAGAAAGTTTGGTGCGGAAACTGACTAGTCAGTTGGCATGTTTAATCCATAGTTTTTAAGAAGTTTCCATTATTTGGAAACTGACCTGGTTGGTTCAGCGTCGGCTTGGGTGGAAAACTAACCCAACCAATCCTGTCATCGGTTCGAAGCTGACTATTGATTCTAACTTTCGTAGAACCGTTCAAATTACCTATTTGCACATTTTCTTTTTTCCTTGATTTCATCTCTGAGATTGGAGTAAACATACTCTCCTGCACAAGAAGCTGTTATAAGTGCACAATGTTGAATTGCAGAAATTGGATATGAACCAGGTGCTGCAGTTGTTGCTAGACTACTTGTACATGCACAACAGATAAGGCTATTTGGTGGGTAGAGAGGAGGGTATATTATTAATCAAATGAAAAGGGCCGTTACAAGCATGCAGATAATTCACAGCTTCTAACAACACTCTGCTTCTCTGCTCAGTACTAACCGTTACCTGCCCAAGCTTGTTGTACAGTACAATCATTCTAAATGTATAAATTCACTAATACTCCAATTTTCTATTCACATTTGAGCTGCTCGCCGAGATCAGAAGATGATGGTATTTCGAAACCTTTCAGAAGTGTATTTAGTATTGTGTTTTAAGTGTTTATTAGTTGGTTTGAATTACATCGTCTTTGTGTAAATTTTCTTAGAACAGCGGGGGTCCAGGTCATTTTCTGGGAGGCACGTCTATGGAGATGGTTCATGTTCAGCAGGTTAGTCGAATACGACAGTTAGGCACATATTGTGTTTTGCCTTCAATGAGTTTGTAATTTGTATGTTAGTGTGGCAGATATATATAAGGGGGCAATGGTGGTGGTTAATCATGCTAAACCTGGGATGTTTGATGGCAAAGCGATCGTGTCTGGCACGCCAGATCAGATTCGGGCTGCCCAGAGACTCGTCCACGCCTTCGTCTTGTGCAGGAAGACACAATCCTGATGAACATAAAATAAAGCACGAAGGTTGAGCCAAGTTTTATGAGAGTTTCCGAGTGGATGTAAACAAAAACGTACCAGTGAATCTAGTAGTAGGGTGCTTTCTAATTAAGGATGATTGTTTGCATCCATTTTACCCTGTTCCAAACGTGTTTTTCAGCTGCCCTTGCGAGAAGTGCAGAATGCAGAAAATCAATAAAACAAAATTAAGTATATGATTCAAATGTGCATCTTATTTCGTTGCACGGGATTTGTGGTCGTGTTGTGGACTCGACAAAGAACTGAGTGATTTCATAGTCAAAACTTGAATCATTCATATTTGGGAGGTAGAACTCTGTGCAAGAGAAAATACTGGACAAAAATGAAATGGATTAAAATGACCATGCCATTGTACAAGCGCAGCAAATGCTAATTTACAAGATTCTAGGAATTTTGACATGTTGAAATGGTTCACAATATGATAAGAAGAGCTATTAAATTAGTACACGTCCACGATACCGTCGTTTCCAAGATGAATTGGCCACAAGGGTCTCTGTCGATGGATGGGATTCATGATTCATAGCCATCGATGAGAAGTTTTTAATCCGTTTCAAACTAATCTGTGGGAGAAATTAAGCTTGTATGATTTTGCTAAATTTCGAAACAGCAATCATAAACACCTGTCACAATTCCTATGCACTTTTTGGATTGGACTCAGAATCTCCATTCTGCACAACATTCTAAAACAAAAATAGAAGATTAATGTAAAGGGCAATGAAACAGCACGAATTCCAACGACTACAAAAGCCATGGTAAACAAAAAAGGACAACATCACCAACGGATCACCTCATTCCTGTTGAAGCTTGAAGCTTGTCCACCCTGGTTTGGTGCTTTTGAGAGGTCCCGCAGAGTTCCCTTGCAGTCAGCAACGCAATTTAGAAGAAACGGAAACTAAAATATAAGAACGGGCTGTTCACTACCTAACAGTCTTCAGGAAAAGAATTTCTAGAACGGAAATCAGAGCAGCTAAATGCAGCATATCATTTTCAGAGTCATACTGAACTCTGACCAATACAGAAGAAATATACCTACCAGAAGTACAGAAACACCTTCCGCCAATTAGAATATGAATATCAAAAGAAGAAAACCGTGAAAATTCTTTAGACACCACCAATTTTAATGACTTCTATAGGCTTTCTACGTCTATTATGAAAGAAAAAAGGTAATTTAGATTTTAGATCCGCAGCACCCTTAATATTACCACCACAAAGCCAATCCATAAATATCTGACCTTCTCTAACAATCCTCGACTGAAAAAGGTTGAAACCAAGACAATAAGGGACAAACAAAAACGGACACAAAACGAAAATTACAAGATAAGGCATCAGCATTTGGTAATAGTTAATTTAAGATAGTTTCTAAATAATAAAATATATTAATAAGTTTTTTTTTCTTGTTTTTTGCACAACAGATAAAGGTACCATAATTCTCTCCTACTGCTTCAAATGATTCCTTTTTCCACAATATCAAAGGAATTCACCTATTGGTTTTGTCCAACCCTATAACTAGGAAAAACTTCGAGATTCCCAAGTTTATAGGCACATTATTGCTCAAAATATAGAACCCCTTCATCTAAACCTATTCTCCTTCCAGCTTGCACAAATTTTCAGCCTCTTCACTATTCTAGCAACAAAACAATGCCTTGTCAGCAAGAAAGAAAGCATACAACTTCGTAATGTTCCTTAAGCTTCTGATCCAGAAAATTGACTGTCGTGGAAGGGAAGTCTTGTTACCATGATGGTGCATTCCCATTACACTTGAGAAGAAACTTTCTCCATATGATTCTGTACGGAGGAGAGCTCTACGTTCTACCGTTACCGACCAATCATCAAAGAGACTCTTAAGAGTTGGATGAGGAACACCATAAATTTTTTTAATGATCATTTTCAATTAAATAAAGAGAAGATGCATGGGGCATCCCCAATCTAAATCCTCCCAAAAGAATGTGGAAAAAACACAGTGGCTTTGATTCTAGAATACACAAGATTCTCATACTTGAGGAGCTTACGCTCAACTTTCACGATGGTAGGAGCCCAGCCAGAAGGAGGAGAATCTAGGGTTCTCGTTGAGGGGAAAAATGAATAAGCAGTGGATTGGCCATGCTTGCAATAAGTGTTAAGAGGCCGAGAGATCAATAAATGATTCATCTACATTTATGTCCAGGGTCTCAGATTTACTATATTGATAAGATCCTTGAAGCTTAAAACACAAGACATAATACACGTTTTTAAAAAAAGCTATCTTTGGATAAAAAGATGTTAATGTCTGTTACCTTGTTTGCCCACATGAGTCCACAGGCATTGCAAAGGGTTCTTGGCCCATCAGGTCCACGTCGCATCATTGGTGTAGACTTCTCACTAATACCACAATGTCGACAGCTAAAGGCCAGTGAAATTGAAAGTGTTAATCAATCAATGAAAACAATAAGCACAACTCTTTAAATAGTATTCAGTCTGACATCAAAAAGAAAAACTAACAGAATTTCTTGTTGATGGGATCCATTTCCATCAGAACACCAAGTCTCATTTGATTCCCAACTTGTTGTGGCCGATAATGAATCTTCCTGAATGGGTTTGGAAGATGTGAACTGACCTTTATTACGCTGCATCCTACAAAGGTAAGAACAATGGGGTGAAAATAACAAAAATATAAGCTCAGTGTTCTTTGTGAACTTGCTAATATTTTTTATTAACCTAAACCAGTTACCAATGAGAAAGCTATATAAAAAAATCGTCAAAATGCAGATAAAATAGTTTCAACTTTTTGTGACAAAGCATTCAGAGAATACAAAGCATGCAAGATGTATTTTTGGTACGCAAGTATGAAAATACAGATTAGTGAGCCCAAGTTTTCAGTTCCACTTATATTCATTCAATCAATAAATTAATGAGCTAGATGCATAATCTATAACAAACTATCTTCTCATAATTAGAGAGTCAATAGAGAAACCACCAACTGAACTACAATTAGCAACTCTTGGTACAACACTGGATACTTGACAATACTTTGGAACTAATTCCACAGCTGTTTCCAGCCCCCAAGCCCTCTTCAGTTCTCATAAATAGACAGAATGATGTACCTTATAGGCAAGAAATGAGCTAATAAGGAAAGAAAACACTGCTGATTCAGAGAAAAGAGAGGCATCATTTTGATGAAAACCAGTACACAAAATGATGCTGCATAAAGTATCCATTGATCATGTAATCAGAATTTTACACATTCTGATCATTAGCATCCCCAGCTCAATAAAACTACGTTGTACTAAATAGCTTCTACCATCAGCTCAAAATCATATTTAAATTAACCTAAGCTTCCTCATGGCTCATAACAGAAACATACAGCATTAACTCCCAACTCGTGGAAGAAAATATAACCCTATTGAAGGAGCAATAATAGACAACTTAAGGAGAAAAAAAAAATACTCCAACCAACAATAAAGGAAGGTGAGATACCTAAGTGCTACCTCTTTACGAACTGTATACCGAATTTTCTTGTCAAAATTACGTTCCTTTCGCTTTTCACGAAATCTAATCAAAGAAGCTAATCTCTGAGGGACACTTAGACGTGGGGGGATGGCAAGTGCCTGGTTAAATGCTTCATCAGTGAGATGCTACATTGAGATAACACGTCATTCTTTAATAGATAGCACAATAGGATACATGTAAATGTGGATAAGCATAAATACATACCCTATCATTTGGTTGATTAGTTATTGGGATTGAGGGAACACGCAAAGGTACTTCGCGACCTCCCAATAATAATAACACGGCTTGAACCTGACAAGAAGTTCTTCAGATTATTTTAAAAAAGGGTGACCATCGAACCAGTATAAAAACAACCTACATACACTAAAGCACTCATAGGTACATGCGAAATCGTGTGTACATAAAACAGATAATTAAACTAAACTTAGACAACCGCAGATCAAAGCACATAAAGTAACAACGAGTTATTTGTAAGCACCTAAAGTAACAGTAAGTTCGATCCTGCAAATATGTCATTGCTGTTATTTCAAACCGATATTTGTAAAGCCGATTACGAAAGAGATGAATTCTTAAAAGATGTCGCTGAAGGAATAATAAATTAGGAGTAGAAACCTATTTGAAGGAATTTTATATTAAGCCTGATTAGTGGCAAACAAGAAATCCAGCATACTAACAGAAAATATACAGAGCTGGGTCAGGTCTCCAGATATATTTGGGGGATAATCTGTTAATTATCAGTTCGGTCTAACTTAAGCTTGGTTGGCTGGCATTAGTAATTATTGGAATCCGCGAACAAGGGCAGAGCAAAGTAGGAAGGAGGCACCAACCCAATTTCAATATTGAGATTATATCATTACAAAAGTTAAAAGGTCAAATTTTTCTCATCCTTACGAAAAAAATTTGTTTCCACGCAGCTAACTAGCTAGCATTCACGTATTATCATTGAATAAACCATCCATTTATTCCCTTCCCATTCATCACCTATAAAGACCAAATCAAAATGTCCATTTAGTCATAAACCTGTAATGTCTGATAAACACGTCAGTGTCAATTTACAACATCTCAGTCACAACGAAAAATGAAAGATGCTTAAGTCACAACATTCAACATGTGTGGACTGTGGATGTAACTGCCCAAGCCCACCACTAGCAGATATTGTCCTCTTTGGGTTTTTCCCTTTCGGGCTCCCTCTCAAGGTTTTTAAAATGTGTCTGCTAGGAAGAGGTTTCCACACCTTTATAAACAATATTTCGTTCTCCTCCCCAACCGATGTGGGATCTCACGGTGGAGGACCAATATGACTCAACAATGTTTTCAGTGTTAACAAGTATGGAGATAACTCGGAAAGGCTATAGATTGTGCATATTTTGTGTTATCTGTCCCAACAACATCAGGATATCACTTGAAATTTTTGATGAACCGTTTTTTACTTTATACAGCTAGAGAAAAACGAACACGAGAAGAAGAATGAGGGAACCTTTTCGGGCGAGACAGAATCGAAAACATAAACTTGACCCTGATATGACAGGGTAAGCTGATCGCAGTTATCGCCTCCTCGATCCACCATTACACCACGATTCTCGGCAAGATCACCATGGTCGGATGGAGCTTCCCTTTCCACAACCATGATACCGTGACCTTCATTTTCATGCTCATCGGCCATTCCATTCCCATTACTCATGTAATGCAAGTCATGATGTTCCTGTTCTTGCACAGATTGTGTGTGCATCGAATGCTGTGCATGACTCATATGCATCCGTCCATCGCTCGCATGAATACCGTCCATTTCACTGCTCCCGCCAAAACACCGGAATAAAAAAAAACTCGATTAATCCTTTACAAGTTATTACGCATGAGAATTGAGATATACTTAAACAAGGCATCTCCATCCTAACCCTACCAACTCAATGCAAAGCATGCAATAAACAAAAAGTGACCAAACAAAGCAAAAGAAATTAACTATCTGCGAGTGCGTAGGAGGATATCGAGTTCATAGTTCAAAATCAAGCTCGACTTTCTTTATGCCTAGCACAATGACAATGTGTTACGAGTTACAGAAGTTAATTTCCCCCGTTTTCAGAAGGGGGAAAAAAAAAAGGAAAGAGAAACAGAGAGTAATCAGAACCGAATTATGGTATGAGGAAAGGATTTGAGATTTGATTGAAGATACCATCCAAGAGAGTGATAATCCAACGGACGAACACGACAAACGCAGCACAAATAATGCAATCTCGTTGCTCTGATGCTTTGAAAAGAAGACGATCGACGATCACATTGCTTTCAGGTGGAAGATCTCTCCTCGGGAACGGGAGGGCTGAAGATGCGATCTAAACCAATTGGGATCAACGGCGGATTGAGTTGGGAGAGAGAGAGAGTTCTAGAAAGTCGAGACAGACGTGCCTCCGAATGTCGCCCGCTTGGTTCAAGTTTAACGCATATTGACTTGGGATTTTTAGGGGCGAGGACGTCTCATTGCCTTTTACCATCCCAATTTTAATTTCAACGTTTTTTAATTTTTAAGTTTTGTATTTTAAAATATTTTTAAATTTATATTTTATTTTATTAGAAATTTTTAAAATTATTTTTTAAAAATGTTTTTACTTATAAATTTTTGTTTTTATTTTTTTGTCACATTTTAAAAAATTCATAAATCTATAAATTTTCCGTGTTTAATTAGATATAAAATTTAATTTATATCAAATATATCAATTTTAATTTATCAAATATATCGTTTAATTTTAAAACAATTTTATAATTATTTTTAGATTTATTTTTTATTTTTTAAATTTGTCATCTCTACCCAAATCATTTCCTTTAAAATATCAACTTTAACTTAAAATATTTAATATCAAATCAAAAATAAAATAAATTTAAAAAATGAAAAATAAAATAAATTTAAAATTTTTTATAAGGATATGTAATTGGACCGGGTGTCTTAATTTTTTTTTTTTTTAAATAACAAATTTCAACAATTTTAAAATTTATTATAAATATAATAATATAAAATAATCACGTGACATGTAATAATATATATATATATATATAATTAATTCAAAACTCCAACTTTACACGTGACATGTTATTCTCAACTTTACACTATAATCATTCAAAATACTAATAATAGTTAATAATTAAAGGTACGTTTGTTAACGATCAAGTAGTATTTTTGTAGCTTCATTTAAAGTAGGAAAGTGGTAAAAAATTTCATATAAACAAGTGTATTTCAAAAATTGACCATGTCGAGTACATCCTCGCACCCATTTGACATGTCACGATTGGCTGACCATAATCAACTTGTTGGAATTTATGCTATAAAGCCTCCTAATTAATTATTTAATATTGGATAATAAGTTCGATTATTATAATTACAATTTAATATTATCCATTATATGAAAAAATTAAAGGATATTAATGTAACGTCGAATATATAGTTGACATACAAGAGAATCATATTCAAGCAGTAATCTAAACAGTCTATAGAATATGGATAAAGTTGAGTGTTTTTCCTAGTAACAAAATTGGTACGGTCCACTTTATAATTGTTACAATTAATTTGATTCAAATTGTTCATGTGAAGACATGTGAGTCGAGGTATCCTATACAGGAATTTGTATAAGATTAGACCACGAAATATTTAATCTCTCTTTATGAATCTGTTGTTGGCTTATTGGCCCTTGATCTTACATTAATTAATTTCAATGAATTAATTATTGATGTTTTGATGATAACAAACCTACTTTTAATTATTAACTATTTTCAGTTTTTTGAACTGTCCACAGTATAAGGTCGGGAATAACGATTACAACAACTTTTCAATTACTCAAATCAGAGCTAAAACGAAGAAATTAGAGTCGAGACAACATACCCGACGTAATGATGTGGCAACAAAATCAAAATGATGGACAAATCAAAATATATCAAAGTATGACATTTATAATATTGGAAGAGTAACAAATGGTGGAGTTTTTCTTATTATTACATTTCTAAATAAAATTATTTTTACAAAATATAAATTTGAATATAACCGTTACTCACATCGAATTTTATTATTACTATATTATATTATTATATTATTATATTTTAAAATTTTGGTAGTTACTCACATCATTTTTATTATTATTATATTATTATATTTATAATAAATTTTGAATTTCATTTTACCGTTACTCACGTAACTTTTTATTATTATTATATTATATTACTATTATATTAAAATTTTGAAATAAATGAATTTAGAAAATTTTCTTATTTAATTACTTTTAATCTCCACCTTCCATTATTCCTAACACAATCCAATGGTCAATATTCAATCCTACATTTTGCCACTTTTCTCCTCTATATAAACTCATCTTCCCCACATTTTTATAACACACAACTTACATACATTCTTCAATCCTCATTTGTTCAAAGTCTCCATTGTTTGTTGCTCTCTCCAAGCTTACAAGTTTATTTCTTTTCATCTTATTCTTGATAGGGATTATTATTATATTGTGAGGAAATAGTTGTGAGTATCCCAAATTGTAAATCTACTCTTTGAGAGAGTTGTGGTGTGTTATTATCAAACTCAAATACTTGTATCGGTTTGATCCTGCGCCGTGGAAAGGATTGAGTTTGCTCTTGAACTCGTAAAAAGAGCGGTGTACCGGTTTGGCTCTGATCCGTGGAAAGAGTCGGAAAAGTTCTTTATTCAAATTCCCAAGAGACGCTTGAGGAGTGGAGTAGGTCGAGTTTGACCGAACCACTATAAAACTACGGTGTCATTTTCTCTAACTCTTTCTTATTTAATTTCAAGATTATTATTATGATTTATTGCATGTTCTACTTGATTATTGTTTTGACTTGAATTATTTTGTTTTAGTAATTATAATCTTCTACTTATTTGTAAAAAGTTTTATCATTAGAAAAAATTAATCAAGTTTAAACACTTTTATCGTTAAAACCCTATTCACCCCCCCTCTAGGGTTGCCATACCGATCCAACATCTGTTAATTGAGAAGGTTAACATTTCATAGGTCGATCAAAGAGACATCGAGTACATCGCAACACATACTCGACATGTTATTGTCAGTTGACCATGATCAGCTTGTTGGAATTTATGTCCTAAAACCTCAAAATAAAATTGTTTAATATTATTTGTCGTAAAAATTTCAAAGTTACTAATGCAATATTTAATACAATGGCTTCTATAGTGTATTATTTGTTATCCCAAATTGTAATTACAAACAACTCGTAAAAGATCGACTTGCTTCCAGTGATTATATCAATGGACATAATTTTTTCTCCCTTCCTTCTATGATATTGTCATTCTCGCTTTTTGCTCTTTGCTCGTTCGGACTCTTCTCCTCCCTTCGGTACCATTCGCCTCCTCTTTTCGTCTCTTCTCCCTTCTCATTCCCCTTTTGCAAAATCCCTAGTTTCGTTTTCATCTCTTCTATTTTTTTCTGTCCAACTCACGCCTTCCCTCTATGTTTTTTTCACCTCATTTCCGGTTTTACTTCCGCATGTCACTTTCTTGTTAAATTTATTTTATTTTTTATGGCTTATCTCAATCAATCGATTGACCTACTATTTCTCGAGTAGTTGGAATTTTGAGGTTACATGTACAAAAAAAAATGCAGATCTAAGTAGAAGATTTGTTAGTTATGGAGATGCTGCTTATTCTTAAGGTTATTGTTGTTACTCTCTTACCTGGTTATATAAGACCTCTTTCAAAAATCTCTCTTTTAAAAATCTCTTTCTGCCCTCGTTTTCTAAAACCTTCTCTTAAACCGAACTAAAGGCTCGAGCATACATCGTTTGACCGTAGGCGACGCTTCACGAAGAATGTGTTTGTGGTTTGCTTCATTGATGGAGAAGCCATTCGGGATGGGAAGGCTCAACAGTGGATTCAAGGTAAGTGAAGAACTCATTGTCCGAGTGTTTTGGACCGTACGTACACAAAGGTAAATGTTAAGGCCTCTGATCAACTAAGGTATACGACAAAAACTCATTTTTTTCATGCTCAAATAGGAAGGCTCAGCAACGGATTCAAGAGTACTTAGAGATTCAATATCCGACTTAAACGGGGTATACGTTCTAAGGGTATACAAAATTTCAGAATTGTTACTGTTATATGATTAGATGCACGTAAACGTATACTTAAATATTATGTTGTGAAGTTGAGTATCCTAATACCGAGAGACTTGACACATGTAGACGAGAACGATGCCACCTATTGAAAATGGCATGGAATAGGGAATGCATCGACGAGTTCGAGAGAATGTTTCAACATGTAATATTTGTTACTAATGAATGTGATAGCATGCATTCAGAAAGGAGGTGGGCCATTTTTCGAGAAAAAATGTAACGACCCAGATCCACCGCTAGCAGATATTGTCCTTTTTGAGCTTTATCTTTCGGACTTCCCCTCAAGGCTTTAAAACGCGTCTACTAGGGGAAGGTTTCTACACCCATATAAATGGTGGTTTGTTCTCCTCCCCAACCAATGTGGGACATCACAATCCACCCTCCTTCGGGGCCAGCGTCCTCGTTAGCACTCTTTCCGTTTTCCAATCGATGTGGGACCGCCCCCAAATCCACCCTCCTTTGGGGCCCAGCGTCCTTACTGGCACACCGCCTCGTGTCTACCCCCTTCGGGGAATAGCGAGAATGCTAACACATCGTCCGGTGTCTGACTCTGATACTATTTGTAACGACCAAAATCCACTACTAGCAGATATTGTCCTCTTTGGGCAAATCCACCCTCCTTGGGGGCCAGCGTCCTTACTGAAGGAGGGTGGATTGTGATGTCCCACATTAGTTAGGGAGGAGAACAAATCACCGTTTATATGGGTGTGGAAATCTTCCCGTAGTAGACGCGTTTTAAAGCCTTGAGGGAAAGGCTGAAAAGAAAAGTTCAAAAAGGACAATATCGGCTAGCGGTGGATCTAGGTCGTTACAAAAAAAAACCCATATTAAACTTTGACATTAGATCTCCGGTCAACTCAACACTCGAAACACGAACTTCCTAAACTTCGACCCCTCGAAACATCAACTTATTAGCTCGATTGAAAGAACTCATTTGGGATTCGGGTAAAGGTGCTTTTTTCATAATCGATTGTTAAAAGTTTGCTAGTATACGCTGACGTGTACCTCACTTCATGACGTGTCAAATCATTATTGGGTAACGGCTCTCCGTACTCGTCACTGAAGAAATTTATAGCTCTTTCCATTTCACTTCCCTCCCGCTCCCCTCTTTTTCTCTGCGATCTTCGTTCGATACCGTCCTTCACCGTCTCTTCCGTTGCCATTTCCCTGCTTTCTTCCACCGGCAGCGATAATCGGCCTCTGCATCTACAAAGTGATCGTTCATTACTATCATTTCTTCCTCTAATCGCCTCAATCTCTGCCATTTTCTCTCTAATAAATCATACTGTCCTGCGTGTTTAATGCACTCTGTCGTG